AGTGAAATAGGGGGACTTCTCTAGGGGTAGTAACAATATTTTCTTTCCATGTATTGAGTTATAATCATATAGTGTTACTGTGAGGATTAAAATGAGGCATTTGTAAACTGTTGAAGAACTATGTAAATTTGTATTTCCAAATTGTGAAAATTAATTCTTACTGTTCAGGAGGTGCAGATATGGTTATAGAAGAATAAAAAAAAGGATAGACTAAACGTGTACCAATCTAGAGATAAAAACTGAAAGTTGTTTTGGAGAAAAATAATCCTGACGTTAGCCTTTTAACAAAAAAATTGTTCTTTTTCCTGAAAGTACATTCCAGAGAAAAGCAATTCAGTACTATTTCTGTGTGTGTGTCTTACACTGGAATACAACATATGGGAAGGAATGTACTGCCTAAAAGGTTCCAATTTTCTTAGAAAGCTCTGAGATCAGGATAAAAGATTGAAAAGAGGGAGGAAAGAAGGGGGGATGAAAGGAAAGTAGAGGAGGAGAGGGAAGGAACAAAGGAGGAAAGAAAGCCGCAATAAGACCCAACAAGCAAATGTCTTTTAGCTTCTTAAGAGTAACTTGCCGTTCTCTTGCGCGTACACACTGCAGCCCAGTGCCACTATTTGGGGGTTAGCTAGTTTTTTAATCTGAGGCTTTGACTTCCTTTCATCTTCCTGAATCTGATCTAGTTCATCTTTAGAAAGTGCTTAAGGGACTGAGGATCGCAAAGACTCACTCTAAAGAAGATTAAGGTAAATAACAGGTTGGGAAAGGGTTTTTTCTTCCTTTTGAGTTCAGGCCTTTGAGAAAAATTTCACATTTATTTCTATTCAAAGCAAAATGTAATTCTTTTACTGGAGTTGAAAATCGGAATCATAATATCAGCAGGAAAATATCTACTCCACATTCATCTGCATGTGATGGCAAGAGAGTGAGGGTAAAAATATTAGCAAAATCCCAACCCTGTTCTCCCAAAGTGCACCGTCATCTCTTTTATTAACACATAATCTACCAAGCACCTACTATGTGCTGTGCATTCACTGTTCCAGGCCTTGGAGATATAGCAATGAGCAAAACAGATAAAAATTTCTGCTCTCAAGAAGTTGACCTTCTTAGAGTAAAACGGTAGCAAACTGGAGATGCTCTAAACCATCACTAATTTGTCAGATACGATTTGCTTTAAATACTCTCATATATATGCATACTGAGTAAGTCTAAGAGTAAGATGTAAGATTGCTTGAAATTCTAGAAGCAGGAAATAAATGTTTTAAAAATCCTTGACCATTTAAGAAAGTTGGAAAATATACAAAATATAAGTTTTAGTAGCTTTAAAGCAAACCTAAAACAATTTTTTTTAGTTTAAAGAACAAAAGTAGGTTTTATAAAATGTGATTTTTTTTCCAGAAATTTTTAACTTTTGGTACTCAGAGTCTGAAATTTCGAATGCCATATGAGCAAGGAAGAAAAATATTTTTCCAACCTATTTCACGGGAGAGATGGGAACTGGGGAGAAAGTTTTTAAAAATATTTCTCCCTAACTTTTCTAATCTCATTTATATTGTGTTCTCATAAAACCTAACCAAGTGTTCTGTCTTTTATAGCTTTTCAATGAATATATGTTGCATAATTATGTTGTCAGTGTAAGGCAAATTCTTGATGTAGAAAACACTTCAAATGTATTGTAGAGCACAATATTTTATTTTATGAGACTGATGCACTGCATACTGTGCTAAAAAGGCACCATTATTTTATTAAAGCTAAAACATAACCATATCATTATATGGTTTACAATTAATTCAAACCTTTTCATCCTCAAAAGTGCAAGCTTTCTTTTTGGAAATGGGTAGTGTTAACCTTCTATTGTTCAAAATTTGTAGGAAATGATGACATTGCTTTATTTTTTTAACCTATTAAAAAGATAGTTTTTATAAAATTGCTTCATTATTGTATAACTCTAGAAATTCTATATTATTAAATGACTTACAGTATAACTTGCTCTTACTTAGCACAGTTGTAGAAATGAATGGTTTGCTTCATCTGTAGGTACAGGACAGAGGGATAATGCTATGGCAGGCGTAATGAGAGTCTGGGCAGAACCCAAACCAAGGAGTAAACACAGTTGCAGAGAAGCTATGATCAGAGCATTGGGTTTATTTTGTGGTCCAGGAGGTGGAGACTTAGAGGTCAGCCAAAGTTGATTACTAGGAGCCAAGTGGGGGAAGTGCCAGAGACACGGCTAGGAGACGGAGTGGAAAATCTGCAACCTGTGACACTACTCTAGGAACTGAAGGCAGGAACATGGGAGGCCCAGGAAGTCAGACAGCTCCTCTTCAGTCTGGCAACACAGTTTTAAAGACCTGGCCATGTACTTCAATGCATCGTTTGAAGGCACTTTCAAACACCTAACTAGAATTAATGGATTTTAGTTTGGGGAGAAAGTAGACATTTTTCCAAAGAATTACCAGTGTGGTCAATGACTGTACTTGCATTGCTGTCTAACAAATTAAACCAAAACTTAGCAGCTTAAAACAGTGAACATCTGTTGTCTTACCGTTTCTGTGGGCTAGAAACCCAGGCATAGCTTAGTAGGGTGTCTCTGGCTTGTGATATCTTACAAGGCTGCAATAGAAGTGTCAGCTGGGGCTGTGGTCATCTCAAGTAGGAGAGTAGGAGAAGACCCACTTCCAAGAACATTAGCCTGGCTGTTGGTAGGACTGTTTGCAGGCTGTTGGCCAAAGATCTCAGATCCTTGCCACATGGGTCTTTAAGCAGGGCAGCTCACAACATGGCATTGGGTCTCCCTCAGAGTTAGCTAGAGAATGAAAGAGAGCAAGAGAGAATGGGCAAGATAGAAGTGATAGTGTTTCGAACCTCATCTCAGAAGTGACATCCCATCTCATTGCTCTTCCCCTCATCCATGTGTCAGAAGCCAGTGGCCATGTCCAGCCTACACTCAAGCAGAGGGGATTATACAAGAGTGTGATTGTGAATGTTAGAAAGTGAGGGCCATTGGGAGTCAACTTAGAGCCTGCTTTCTATAGCACTCCACAAAGAATTCTGTATTATTAGGTATTTTAGAACTGAGTAGACAACAGATGATCATGTAAGAAATAGGTATTCAGCTGCCTGAAGGCGAAAACTGCCATTATCTTAAAGTTTCTTTCACACCTATGACTATATTATCTGAAATGAAATGGGTTCTTTCTATTTTTTTTCATCAATTTTGTCTGACACACTATGATAGCTCAACCATCATCTCATTTACTTTCATATAGGGGCCAAAGTCTGGCTAAACTTTCCCTAAGCAGTGGAACAGCAGCTAAGAGAAATATTTTCAGGATTTGATCCCAGTTTTTTACTCGCTAGCTGCTTGATATTGTTGCCTCAATTTTCTCTTCTGAAAAATGGAAGCAGTAGTTTTACCTCACTTGTAGAGTTGTAAGGATTAACTTAAGTGTCTAGTATCGTCCTAGATACATATTACATGATCAGTAAGAGCGAGCTAACTAAAGAAATTTGACCTGTCCTCTACTGACCACTTTTTGGGGAAAAGGAAGTGCATCTTTTTCCTATGATTTCCCATGTGTCAGCCATATAGATACTTTTTCTTTCCTAACTTCCTAAGGTCATCATCAAATGAGTCATGCCGTTAGTGTTACAAAACTCTCCAACAGCTAAGCACAGTGGCAAGACAATACAATGTATATTAGTTTAGAGCCAGCCAAAGAGATGGAGACTTCAATTATCTATTCATATTCTAAGGCTATATCAAGCCCTTCACTCTTATAATATATTTATATTTCAGACATTATTTACAGGTATTTGTCTTTTCACTCTCCATGAAACAGCTATAATTCAAAATAGAAAAATTCCTTTGATGTCTTCTTAGTTCATTCTTTATAGCCTTTGATTTTTTAAATTAAAAAATCATGCTTATTCTAGAAAAATGAGAGAATTCAGTTAAGTAAAATAGAGAAAGAGAAAGACACATATGTATTTTCTCAATGTTAGTGATCTCTTAGTTGAATTTTAGAGCTTAGGATTTTTTAATTTTTTAAAAAATTTAACTTATTTTAGAAAAATAGAGAAGGTAGATAAATAAAAATACAGAAAGAAACACAAAAAAAATTCACTGAAACTCTAATATCCACAGGAAGCCATAACTAACTTGAGTGTATTTTTCTATGCATATATAAAAAATAAAACAAAGGGTGGCTGGGGCGGAAGTATTGCTTGAGCCCAGGAGTTTAAGACCAACCTTGGCAACATAGCGAGACCCTATATCTACAAATAGAGATAAAAATAAAATGTAATAAAAATATAAACATAATACTGCAATCTGTCTTATTTTTTTCCTCTAAAGCACATTGTGGGTAAGTTGATTTACTCTAAATGGAAGTAAACCAACAGGGAAAAAATGCTGTTTAGAATATGAAAGCGAAGAGAATGCGTTGAGTCTGAGAACAGGGAAATACGGAGATAATAAGAGGAGAGAGATGGAGATGAGAAGAGGAGAGAAGCAAAGGGAGGGGTTCATTTGATTACCAGGGAATGCTGGTTTCACTCTTCTTTCCCTGAAATGTGCAGACACCTGCAGCAGCGCGCTTTTGACCTTGGGTGGAAGAGATCACGCCAGCATGGAGATAGTGGCAGGCTTTATTCATGTTCACATTTTATGAATGTGGTGACTACTCTTGGGTATAGAAGGCCGTCTTTGAGAAAACATTCTGCTGAACACCCAACATACACACTTGCAGAACTCATTTTCATAAAGATCCCATATATGCCTCTTTAGGGGAGCAATTGATAAAAACCAACACCCACTGAAAAATACCTTTTCCTTCTAAAAATATCACCCTCAAACTGAAATCCATATAGTCATCTAATATGACATTTTGTCTAACTTGGATGAAAGTATCAGTATGACCCACTTTTAAACTTGAACATAGTAACAAACTTCCAGTGGTTTTTTTTTTTTTTAAGAAGGATTCTTGTTCTGTCACCAGGCTGGAGTGCAGTGGTGCGATCTGGGTTCATTGCAACTTCTGCCTCCCAGGTTCAAGTGATTCTCCTGCCTCAGCCTCCTGAGTAGATGGGATTGTATGCATCCACCACCATGCCTGGCTAATTTTTATATTTTTGTAGAGATGGGGTTTTACCATGTTGACCAGGATGGCCTTGATCTCTTGACCTCGTGATCTCCCTGCCACGGCCTCCCTGAACTGCTGGAATTACAGGTATGCACCAATGCACCCGGTCTAGTGTATTTTTCTTTAAAATAACTAATCTAATATCCCGTATTTGGCATTTAAAAAATGTATCTCAATAATCAGTTGCTTCTCTATTAAAAAGGGAAATATAGCCTTAACATTTGGAAAAATTATTTGTTTTCTTTTTATATGGAAAAGCTCCTTCCTCCTTTACTGTAGGCCAATGATGCATTGTTTAATTTATTGAGAAGTCCTTCAACTGAGACTCCGTAGTTGGTCCTGAGTTTTCAGTCTTTCTCTCCTTTTCACTTTCTGCTGGTCTAAAAGAAATACATGTCCTCCTCTTTTGCACGTATTTTTCTACTTTCTAGAATTCATACCCTTCAATTTCTCTGATTATTGAATTTACTGGAATAGAGTTGTTTATAATATTCCCTCATTATTGTTTTAGTGTTGATAGAAGATGTAATAAAGTCTCATCATTTTAGAGGTTGGTACTTTCTGGGTTTTTTTTTTCCTGGTGTATCTTAGCCAATCTAATTACTTTACCAATGTATTATTAATGGCTACAAACAAATTGGCTTTTGGTGTCTTCGGTTTTCTCTATTGTTTGTCTGCTTACCATTTCATTGACATTTTTCTTGTCTTTACTATGTATTTCCGATAGCATATTTAAATTTCATTTCATTCTTTTTATAACTTCTTAAGGTAAAAACATATATTATTAATTTTCAAACTTTTTTTCCTAATAAACATTTAGTGTTTAAAATTTCCCTCTAAGCACTGCTGTTTATACTTCCCACATTTTGATATATTGTACTATCTTTATCATTCAGCTCTAAATATATATATTTTAGTTTTCTTTGAGATTTCTCATTCGATCTATAGGTGATATAGAAGTTTGTTGCTTAATTTCCAAATATTTGAAGATTTCCAGATATATGTCTTTTATTCACTTCTAAAATAGTATTGTTTCATTCAAAGTATGTTTAGAACTGTTTCAATTCTTTAATATTTATTGAAACATTTTAGGGCTTAACAAGTACTCTATCTCCGTGCACTTAAAAAGAATATTTATTCTATTGTTGCTGGATGTAGAATTCTACAAATGTCAATTAGATTGAGTTTGTTGACAGTAGTGTTCAAATCTTCAATGTCTTCACTGATTTATGCCATTTTTTTAGCATTTACTGAGACCGGAACATGAAAACCTTTAATGACAATTGTGGATTTGTCTATTTTTCCCTTCAGCTCTGTTATTCTTTACTTCATATATTTTGAAGCTCTGTTTTTAGGTGAATATCCATTTATGATTGCTGTCTCCTCTTGATTAATTGACCTGTTTAAAGTTGTGAAATGTTTCTCTTTATCAATACTTTCGTTCTGAAGCCTTCTTTGATCTTAATATAGATACAACTACTTTTTCTATTCTTATTTTTTAATTTTTTATTTTTATTAACTTTGTTTTTTAATTAACAAGAAAAAATTATATATATTTATGGTGTGCAACATAATGTAGACATTGGGGAATAGTTAAATTAAGCTATTTAACATATACTTTATGTCACATACCATTTTTCTTGGTGTGAACACTTAAAATCTACTCTATTGGGAACTTTCAAATCAACAACACATTATTAACTCTTGTCATTGTGATGTGCAATACATCTCTTGAACGTGTTCCTCCTAAGTGAAATTTTGTGTCTTTGACTGACATCTTCCCAATGAACCACACCTTAGCCTCTGGTAACCACCATTTAGCTCTCTGTTTCTATGAGTTTGACATTTTTACACTCCACATATATAAGTAAGATCATATGGTATTTGTCTTTCTGTGCCTGTCTTGTTTCACCTAACATAATATCTTCCAGATCATTCATGTTGTTGCAAATGGTTTCCTTCTTTTTAAAAGATGAATAGTTATTCTATTGTGCATATATACCACATTTTCTTTATTCATCCAGTAATGGACACTTAAGTTGATTTTATATTTTGGCTATTGTGAATAATGCTTCAATGAACACGGGATAGGCACAACTTCTTTTTGATTAATGTTTGAATGGTATATATTTCACCACCCTTTAATTGTAAACTATTCTTATCTTTACATCTAATGTATTTCTCTTTTAAGCAACTTATAGTAGGGCTTTGGTGTTTTTTTTTTTCAGATGGAGTTTCACTTTTGTTGCCCAGGCTGGAGTGCAGTGGTGAAATCTCAGCTCACTGCAGCCTCCGCCTCCTGGGTTCAAGCAATTTTCCTGACTCAGACTCCCAAGTAGGTAGGATTACAGGCATGCTCCACCACGCCCAGCTAATCTTGTATTTTTAGTAGAGAAGGAGTTTCTCCATGTTCGTCAGGCTGGTCTTGAACTCCCAATCTCAGGTGATCTGCTGGCCTCGGCCTCCCAAAATGCTGTGATTACAGGTGTGAGCCACCACACCCAGCCTGGGCCTTGGTTTTTAATCCAATCTGGTGAACTGTATTGGACAGTTTAGTTCATTTATATATAAAATGCAATAATTGACATGTTGTTTATAAATACACTACCTTGTAATTTGTTTTATGTTTGTTTCAGATTCTTTATAGTCTCTTCCCCTTTTTTTCTTTCGTTTTTTGGATTAATTGAGTACATGTTAGTATTTTATTTCATCTCCCCTACTGGTTTCTCATCATACTATTTTGTTTTTATTTTATTAATAGTTGCTTTAGGATTTACAACATGCATTTTAATTTATCAGAGTCTACCCTCAGTATTCTACTAATTTGTGTATATGGTAAGAATCTTACAATAGTATACTTCCATTTTCTCCCTTCCAATTCTTGTATTATTGTTTGCTATGTAAATTTTAAACACCATGATATTTTGTTATTTCTGCTTTAAAGGATCAATTAATTTTTGAATTATAATATGAAAAAGAATTTTAGATTTATCTGTATACTAACCATATCTGACACTCTTTATTCCTTTGTGTAGAATCAAGTTTCCATATATCATTATCCTTCAACCTGAGGACTTATACATTTCTTGTAGTTGAAGTCTCCTGGCAATGATTTATCTCAGATCTGGTTAGTCTGATAATCTCTTTATTTCAACTTCATTTTTGGTGGATACTTTGGTCACAGAGCATTAGGTTCACAGTCTTGCTTTTCACTTAAGAAAACAATGGTAATTCATTATTCTGTTTTCCATTATTTCTGATGAGAAGGCATTATTATTATTATTTTCACTATTAGTCATTATTATTATCATTCTCCTGTAGGTGATGAATGTTTTCTCTCTGCTTTTAAAATAATGTACTTTGGGACAATCATGGGGCTCACTTCATTTTTGCCTTCTCCACCAGAGTTCACTGTGCTGCCTGTTGTGAAAGATCTGAATGGGGATTTCATGTAATTTTACCCAGGTGAACCGTCATTTATGTCTCAGCACAAGTTTAGTTAGTACTAGTCCCAACATCACGACTGTGAGCAAAAGCCTGATAGGATGGATTTTTAAACAGCAAATCAATAAGGAGTTTTCTAGGAATAGGGAGTTCCCAGTTTGGATTTTTTCTTTTTCTTTTTCCTTAAGCACTAAGCTTTTGATGATTTTAAAGCAAGGTTTTGACTTATTCCGTGACATTATTTAAAACGTTTTGGCTAATAATTGCAGCAAGAATTTCTCAATAAATTTCACTGAGAAAACATATCAGAGAGGTTAAGTAAATTGCCAAGGTAACCAACTAGTAAATGGCAGAGACAGGATTTCCTTCAAAGCCTGTCTGACTCCATAGCCTATCCTCATATCCAATACCCCACAGTGTTTTTCCACATTCATACCACACTTCTTGCCCAGTGTCCCACTGGTAACAATGAAAGCCTGAAGTGATAGTCTTATCAAGACTTGACTGATAGATTCGTAGAAAAACAAATGGGCAAGACCATTGAATTCCCCTCTATACTGAAATGAGGGGGAAAAGGAGGCTTGCTGACCCAACACAATGCTTTCAATTGTGCAGTTGAGAAATAGCAAATACCTACACTAACGTGGAGGTGCTGAGAAGGGAGAGGAAGGAGAATGAAAGAGAGCCCATGGACATGGATGAGGCAAAAACAGCCCAACCTGAAGAAGCTGAAGGGCATGAATTCTGATCAAAAGTAGGTAAACACGTAGGAAGAAGGGATACATTTATTTGAGGCCAGAAGAAAGTGAAAGGGAGAAGACTGAAAGCTCAGGGTCAACTGAGGGATGTCAATTGGAGTGACTTAGCAAATTAAGCAGTGAATCACTGGCCTAGAGAGAAGTAGGACTGGCACTTGGGGTAAAAGAACAGGAATCGTTTTTCTAATAGTAAATATTACATTTCACTCTTTAATGGAGAAACAAATGATTGCTGAGGTTAAAATATAAAAGCAAAAAAAAGGTACATTTGCAAAATCCTTATACCATCAAAGAGACAGAAGATGTCGCAATAACCAGATCAGGAAAACCTTACAGTCAGTTCTTCACCAGAGAGCCATAGTAAAACCTCTCATGATATCAGGCATCTAGGCAACACAGCATCATGTCACTGCAGCTTGCTTATTTTTCTGCTGAAACATGTAGCTAAAAGTTTAATTTTATAATTCTTTTCTGTTTCTGAAATGTTTTTGAGGGAATGTGTTCTCTTTTGGGGTCCACGAGGGGGTTAGTTTTAAGGGCAAGAACTTCCTAGTGCCATGCCCCCCTCCCATCTCTCTCCATCCGGGAGATTTAACGGTTTGTGTTTGAATTTTGCGGGCACGGGAAGAAACTAAGAGCCAGTCACTCCAGCGGAAGTTCTAAGGAATTCCTTTCATTGGCCCGGGGTCTTGGAGAATGCGGGGGTTCCTCCCAGATTAAAAGTCCCCTTCTTCCACACCCCTTCAGACTCCATGTTTGGATCCCCTTCCATGAACACTCCCTTCCTGGAAGCTGTTTTTCTCTCTCCTGGATTTTCCCTCTGGAGTCCCCTTCCACACTCTCTCATGGAAGCCTGTCTTCCCCTCCTAAACTCCATCTGTCTTC